TCTATCTATCTATCTATCTATCTATCTATCTATCTATCTATCTATCTATCTATCTGTCTGTTTACCTGTCCGCCTGCCCGTGAGATCGTTCGTTTATCGTACCATTTGTTGTTTTTCTTTTTGAGTTGTATATGATTGGCACACTGTGAGCTTCAAACTCCGACAAAATCCTGTACAATGTTACATTCTTTCAACTCTACCTCTGACTCTCTTCCTTTGTGAGTGGTTGGAGGCTGTCACTGGTACGTTCTACTTTTTGCTGTTTTTTCTATCTGTCAGCCTGCCTTATTTCACCCTTTCAATAAATGACCGTCTCTGTGTCAACGGGCTTCTTTTAACTCACAACTCCAACCCAACTTTTACTTTTTTTCATATCTTAACCTAATTTACTTTTTCTCGTTCATTAGGCACTTCTCTCTCTCTCCAAAAACCAATAAAAAAACCCCAAAAAACCAAAAACAAAGCCCAAACCAAACAACCCTAGGAACAAACGACTCCGTTTATGTGTGCAACGACACTTCACTCTGTCACTGTCAATTCCCTCATAAGTATTTATTGCTCCCACTACACCAGTCCATGAAACCTCTTGTTTTGTTTCCCGCGCAAACCAGAGCTGCTTTGTAAGGCCAACAGATCTGTCAAGGGTGAGTGGGACAGATTTTGACGAGGTGAAGCATTTAGGGGGGAAAGGGGGCTGGGGGTGGACTGGGTTCAATCTCAAGGAAAAGGAGAACGTTAAGTTTAACCACTGAATATTGAAATAAACCCCCAAAAAGCTCTTTATGTTTTTTTGGGATGTATTTTCACCATGCTAAAATTTACTTTCAAAGGTTTATACTAGTAGATCCAGGAAATCAATAGTTCATATCAATATGATAAAACAGGGCCGTTAACGAATTGGGCCCATTAAGGAGTAAAACGACCATTGCCAATCACAAGACACATCTCATCGTAGATTAAGGGAGAGGGGATGAATTCACAAATGAGCTGATTTATACAAGTCAAGCCTGAGTGTAAAGATCTTTAACGTCACTTTGAACACAATAACGATTATCGAAAAAATGGGACATATTACTTGAAAAAAAAACGTCTTAGATTTGGCGACTGTAAATGTAATAGAAATGAAAAATAAGAAAAATATCCACGCATCCTTATACATCAATCATACGCTCGAGTACACACACACACACACACACA